ATCCCTGCTCCATCCCTGCTCCATCCCTGCTCCATCCCTGCTCCCTCCCTGCTCCCTCCCTGCTCCATCTCTACTCCATCCCTGCTCCATCCCTGCTCCATCCCTGCTCCCTCCCTGCTCCATCCCTGCTCCATCCCTATTCCCTCCCTGCTTCATCCCTTCTCCCTCCCTGCTCCATCCCTGCTCCCTCCCTGCTCCCTCCATCCCTGCTCTCACCCTGCTCCATCTCTGCTCCATCTCTGCTCCATCCCTGCTCCCTCCATCCATCCATCCATCCATCCATCCATCCATCCATCCATCCATCATCCATCCATCCATCATCCATCCATCCATCCATCCATCCATCCATCATCCATCCATCATCCATCCATCATCCATCCATCCATCCATCCATCCATCCATCCATCATCCATCCATCCATCCATCCATCCATCCCTCTCTCCCAACTGGAATTCAAAGCAAGGCCAGACCAGAGGGAACCAGGATTCCCCCGGCTCAGCCACCCCAGGCCACATCTGGAACCGTTCCCAGCTCAATATTTCCTCCCTTTCCCAGTAGCAAACCAGTTTGGGGTTGGATTCTCTATGGGGGGGATACTGGAAAAGTCCATCCCACCAGTCCAGAACAACCCCAGAGTGAATCCCAGCAAATCCCTGAGCACCAAACAAGCGGGGATGAGCCATCCTCATCCCCAGGGGGATCCTATGGGAAATTCCCTGCTCGGGGCAGGGCTCTGGCTGAGAATCTCTGTGTAATTAATTACAAACAATTATCCTCCTGTGCCTGCTGACCCCGACCCCGCATCCGGCTGCTGAGGGGGCAGATGGAGCGGCGGTGGGGATTTCATGATCCTACTGATCCCAGAGAAACCCCACACGCCGAGCCCTGCGGGAGCAGCCGCCCGAGCTCCCTCTCCAGGGGCAGATTTTGGAGCTGACATCCAGGACTGGGGAAGTGGCGGCTGTGGGAGGCAGAGAATCCCTGGAGGAACACAATTCATCGCAATTTTAAAAAAAGAGAGGGGGAAAGGAGGTGGAAAGGAGCTGTGAGTACGAGAAGGGAAAAAAAAAAGAAATTAAAAAAAAATGAGAAGGGAAAAATATAAAAACCCAACCCAAGCCAGCAGCAGTGCTGAGTTTCAAAGGTCACCTCTGGGCATGAATTTTAATTTCACACAGGAGTTTTGTTCATTTGTTAATTATTTTCAGATGAAAAGGGAGATACTCCTGCGGAGGGTGAGGAAAGGGCCACGCAACATTTGAATTTCAAAGGCGAGGCTGTTTGCAAGGAAAACACAAGGGGAGAGAAGGGAGGGAGCACTTCGGGAGGAGAGAGAGGCTGGAGAGGTCCCTCCCTGCCACGGCCTCGTTGGGGACACGCCGAGGGCACCAGAAAAAACCTCTGGAATTGCATCCTGATCCTCTTTCCAGGGAATACCGTGCACACCAGGGAAACACATCGTGGATCGGGGCATCCTGTGCCTCCTCTCCCCTCCAAAGAATGGGAACACCCGGGGTGAGCTCTGACCCCAGGATGTGGTACAGGATCAGAAATGATCCCAAAATCAACTCCAGGAGGGATTTTTTTGCCTCTCCATAGGTTTTGCAACCCCAGGAGGAGGAAAAGGAGGAGGAGGAGGGAGAAGAGAAAAAGCTGTTGGAAAAATCTAGGCAGGAGAGGGCAGGGAATAAACCAAGGAATGCTTTTCCTCCTCCTTTTAGCTTTTAGGGCAGCCGATTGCTTTTTATGGAGCCGGAGGAGCTTGGGGAGCCGCACATAAAACACAAGCAGGTGAATTAACCCTCCTCTCTCGAGAGCAGTGCAGCCATGCCGGGGATGCAGCTGGAATTCCCAGCATTTCTCAGCATCCTGCACCCCAAAACTGCTCCTTCTGGGGTGGAAAAAATCCCTGGAAACCCTTCTGGACTGAAGGGGAAGGGGCTCACAAACTCCCACCCAGGCAAATCCCTCTTGGTCCAGCTGGAATTTCTCCTTTCTGGTTTTCCTTTTTGCTGCAGAGCTGTGAATTCCCAGGAAATCAGCCCCCAGGAAGAGTTCTGCCCACTGTGGGGGCACTGGGACACAAAGAGTGACCCCATGGATGGGAGAAAATGAGTTATTTTTCCATGAATAAAGCAAATATTTCTCTTCTCCAGATAAAAGTGTTTATCCTACAGGAAGGGGTGGGAGGGAGGAATCCCAGGGGCCAGGGAGACCCTGAACCCCTGGAAAAATCTTCCCTCAAACCCCCAAATCCTCCTGTGCCTGTTTCCATGCCCAAGGAGCCGGGAGGGATCCTCGGGAAGAGGAAGATTAGAGTGATGATTCTTCCTCATTGCTTGGCTCTGCTTCATTTCCCACCAAAACTTCCCACTCTCCGCTCCTCAGCCCTGCCAAATCCAGAGAAAAGTTCCGTTTCCACAGTTCTGAGCCCGTCCTGAGCTCCTAAAACTGAGCCATTTTCTGCCTGATCAGGAATTAAACCACGGCAGCTGCAATGAAGGAGTGGATGGGGGCGCAGGGCCGGGGGCAGGGGATGATCCCAAATCCCTGCTCCATCCCTGCTCCTTCCCTGCTCCTTCCCTGCTCCATCCATCCATCATCCATCCATCATCCATCCATCCATCCATCCATCCATCCATCCATCCATCCATCATCCATCCATCCATCCATCCATCCATCATCCATCCATCATCCATCCATCTCATCCATCCATCATCCATCCATCATCCATCCATCATCCATCCATCATCCATCCATCATCCATCATCCATCATCCATCCCTCCATCATCCATCATCCATCCCTCCATCATCCATCCATCCATCCATCATCCATCCATCATCCATCCATCCATCCATCCATCATCCATCCATCATCCATCCATCCATCAATCATCCATCCATCATCCATCCATCATCCATCCATCATCCATCATCCATCCATCATCCATCCATCATCCATCCATCCATCATCCATCCATCATCCATCCATCCATCATCCATCCATCCATCCATCCATCCATCATCCATCCATCCATCCATCATCCATCCATCCATCCATCCATCCACCATCCATCCATCCATCCATCCATCCATCCATCATCCATCCATCATCCATCCCTCCAGTGGGATTCCAGTGGGATAGAAAGGCAGGAAAAGGGGCCTGGTGACCCCAGTCTCCCTCATCTGCTCACCCACAGATACCAAGAAGCAGCAGAAAATCCCAAAATCCTCACCCTGTGTTATGGGGCCATTCCTGGAGCTTCCCATCCCAGGGGATTTGTGGTTAAATCAGTGGGATAAATCCCTGGTTTTACCCTTCCCTGTGCTAATGAGGCAGTCATAAAATTAAAGGTAAAATTATTAATGAAGAGAAGCAGCTTCACTTCCCTTCTGGTAGCAAGGTTTGGAGATTCCCGGCTGAATTCCTGCTGGAATTCCAATTCCCGGTGCCACAGCCTCGAGCTGAGGCCACCCACTGTCCCCACTGCTGGCACCTGCTCTGATCTCGCCCCGTATTTTTATGTGGCTGCAAGAAAACACTGAGAGGAGTTTGCAAAGATCGGGCGCATTTAAATGCAAATTGCGTTATTTCTGTCTCGGGGAAAAAAAAAATAAAATAAAAAATTAAAAAAAGCGTCGTTAATACTCGTTCTGCAATTTGGAGAAATCAGTGGCAATTATTTTTTTTGCAACGAGCCATTAGCCAACTTTCATTTGAAGGAGGTTTGGGGTGGGAGGGGAAAGAGAGGGAAAAAAATATGCTCAAGGAAATCATTCTGTGACTGACACATTTCCTCCCAGGTCTTGGAGCTGCCTGTTCATCCTGGGAATAATTACAAAGGAAAGGAGCTAAAAGTGCTTCCAGGAGGCGGATGTGCACGAAGCCGAGTGTTTTTCCAAGGGATTGATCCAGCACGTGCGTGCTCACATCAACAGGGTGGGATTTAGGGGCTCTTCATGGAGAATTTTGGGTTGGGAGGGGCTTTAAAACCCATCTGGTTTCACCTTCCACTATCCCAGGTTGCTCCCAGCCCCATCCAGCCCGGCCTTGGGCACTTCCAGGGATGGGACATCCAAGATTTTTCCTGAAGCTGAGGGTCCAAAAGCTTCTCCAGCCTTTCCTGGTGCTCGTGCTGAGGGGTTTGAGGAGGGATTTAAAGGATCAGGACTGAGGAGAAGGCCTCGTGTGGGGGGTCTCAGATATCCAAGAGGTGCCTGCCTCTGGAATGTGCAGGTCCCCACTAGAATGGTGACCTCCCGCCTGCTTTGCTGCTAAATGAAAGGGAGCAGAGAGGAGAAAAGAAAAGAGCGATCTGTGGCAAGATTAAAGGGAAAAAGGACAAAGAAACCCCACAACTAACGGTGCCCGCTGTTTTTCGGATTCCTTGGGATGAGGAGCGAAGAGTGAATTTCCACAGTGCTGGAAGTGTTCATTAAATGCTGTTGAGTGACAGTGACACCCCCAGAGCGCCACAGGGGTGTCTCTTCCCCCACTAGGAATGCACATTCCAGGCTCTCCAGGGTGGGATTTGGGATAAACCAGAGGTGCCAAGCTGCCAGTGTGACTTGGGGACAATCCCGACACCGTTCCTGGATGATTTTCCTCATCCTCCCCTCCCTGCTCACCCTAACGCAGGGACAGCAATCAAACAAAGAGCCCCAAAACTCCCCAGAAACAGGTGGGGAATGACGAGGTCAGAGCCACTGAGTTCTGGGGGACATCCCAGGTGGCATCAGAGCTCTTGCAATGCCACCTTCCTGCTGGATAAGTCAGGAAAATTCCCGAGTCCTCCTCCCTGGCACTCGGGAGCAGAGCCAGCAGCCCCCCCACCCTCAGCACCCAGGGCTGGTGGGGTCATGGGGGTCACCTGGGCCTGTCCCAAATTTCCAGTGGCCTCCATCCATCAATATCCATCGACATCCATCAACATCCATTGATATCCATCAATATCCATCACTATCCATCGACATCCATCAACATTTATCGCTATCCATCAATATCCATCAACATCCATCGATATCCATCAATATCCCTTGACATCCATCAACATTCATCGATATCCATCAATATCCATCAACATCCATCGATATCCATCAATATCCACCACTATCCATCACTATCCATCGATATCCATCGATATCCACCAACATCCATCGACATCCATCAATATCCATCGCTATCCATCGACATCCATCAGCATCCATCGATATCCATCAACATCCATTGATATCCATCAATATCCATCGCTATCCATTGACATTCATCAACATCCATCGATATCCATTGACATCCATCAACATTCATCGATATCCATCAATATCCATCAACATCCATCGATATCCATCGATATCCATCAATATCCACCACTATCCATCAATATCCATCAATATCCACCACTATCCATCAATATCCATCGATATCCATCGATATCCACCAACATCCATCGACATCCATCAACATCTATTGATATCCATCAATATCCATCGATATCCATCAACATCCATCGATATCCATCAACATCCATTGACATCCATCGATATCCATCGATATCCATCAACATCCACCAACATCCACCAACATCCACCACTATCCATCAATATCCATCGATATCCATTGATATCCACCAACATCCATCGACATCCATCAATATCCATTGATATCCACCAACAACCATCGATATCCATCAATATCCATTGATATCCACCAACATCCATCAATATCCACCAACATCCACCAACATCCATCGACATCCATCAATATCCATTGATATCCACCAACATCCACCAACATCTATCGATATCCACCAATACCCATCAATATCCATCGATATCCATTGATAGCCCTCAACATCCACCAACATCCATTGATATCCACCAATACCTATCAATATCCATCAATATCTATTGATATCCATCAACATCCACCAATATCCATCGATAGCCATCAACATCCACCGATATCCATCAACATCCATTGATATCCATCAATATTGATCGATATCCATCAATATCCACCAATCCCCATCAATTTCCAAGAACCACACGTTCCACACAGTCCCACAGACCCCGTGCAGAGAGGCAGAAGGGGATTGGGGTGGGATGGGAGCCCTTCCCGCGCTGTCCCACCTATCCCAAATCTCCATCCTCCCCCCCTGCATCCCTTCCCCAAGGCTGCATTCCGTCCTTCCCATAAATCGCTGTCTCCTCACCCCCGTCCGTGTTGCCGCCTCCTTGGCCGGGTGATGGATGGCCAGGGCAGCCAGGGGGTGACCAAACCCCCCCTTCCCAGGAGGAGCTGTGAGGATGAAGCTCCAGTGTCCTTTTCCTGGGATAATCCAGGGAAAATCTGCGGTGACGGTGATGGATGGGCGCTGCCACCCCCGCTGGCCCTTTCCTATTGACTTTTTTTTTTTATTTTAATACACATCATAACCCTGGCGCAGCGGCTTCTCCTGCGGGATCGCAAACACCTGGATCAGCACAGGGAATGGATGAGGAGCATAAAACACCCTCAGGATAAATCCCTTGGAAAAGGAACACTGAGGGTTCCAGCAATGGGGTAACAGCAAGAGAAGGATTGGACATCAGCTCTAAAACCACCCTGGGCACCCCAAAATTCACCCAGGTGGGCTCAGGGGGGTGACAGCATCCCCACAGCCACAGGACACGGATCCCACCCTCAGTGACACTTCCAGGAATTAAATCCCAGCTCCTGGAATTCTCCTTTATTGCTGCCTCTCTTTGCTCCTTGTCACCTCCTTCCATCCCAGCACAACCAAATTGCTTCTCACCCGCCCACACCCACAATCCTGAGGCTCTCAGGGATTTTTGTGGGGGTCCCCAGGGGTGTTCCCACTCTCCATGGTGCCAATCCCAGGCTCCCCAAAGGATCCAGCTCCCAGCTCCAGGTGAAACACATCTTAAGGGCCATAAATTCTCTCCGGGTTACCTGGGGATGTTTAATCAAAGCCCCATATTTCAGCTGGCGGCATGAGTGATCTCCTCTCTGCTTTTAGGAGCTTTTTTCATGTCCTCTTTCACTCCGATATGGATCCAATATCTCCCACAGCGGCCAAGGCCATAAAGATAAAAAATGGGATAATTGCAGCGGGAGTTTTAGCGGTGGGAAAATACAGGGAAAGCACAAAGCAGCCCTGACAACTGTTT